ATGTAAATATATGTGAACTAAACTGAAAACTAGGGATGAACCGAAATTTCGGTGTCCAAAACATTTCGGCCAAAAAACGCCCCTATTAGCCATTGGTCGATATGAAAATAAGCACTGATACAGATGCTAAAAATAACCCCACCACCTGATGCCGCTGATCGGTTGTTCTCAGCCTTGCCTGAGAAACCACCAAACAATCACAGTGCTGGGCATAGAGATGTGAAGGAAAGATGGCCTCCACTCATCTGTATGCCCTTGGCGCACTGGAGCAATGTCATTACGTCACTTCCAGTTCCAGCGCCATGTAAACAAGGCCATTTATTTTTCTTTTTTGTTTAATAGCACTTGATCAATGGTTTTTTATTTATTGCTTTACATTGTAGAGGAGAGATGTGGGGTCTTATTGATCCTATATTTCTCTATAAAGACGACCTGTCACTAATTATTTCTATCACAGGGGATGCATGCATTCCTTGTGATAGGAATGAAAGTGATTAAAACTTTTTTCTAAAGGGACAGTGGAATTTATTTATTTTTTTTTTTCAAAAGTTGAAAGTGCCCCGTGCTCGCACGTAGTGATGACCGCATATGTAGGCCACAACCACATGTAAACGGTGTTCAGACCACACATGTGAGGTATCGCCATGAACACCAAGGGAAGAGCAATAATTCTAGCACTAGACCTCTAAAATTTAAAAGTAAATTTCTACAGGTTACCAGTGTAAAGTTAGTCACGCATGGAGATTTTTACTGTAGTCTGACGCCATTCCACGAGCATGCACAATTTTAAAGCATGACACGTTGGGTATCTATCTACTTGCTGTAACATCTTTAATATTTTACAAAACATGGGGTATATATTGTGGGAGATATATATTCATTAAAGTGTGTGTTTTTTTTTTTTTTTTTTTTTTTTTCCAAATATTTTTAAAAACCGTCTATTTCAGTCAAGTGCATCTTGAAATTTCGGTTTCAGCACCAGAATTTTTCATTTCGGTGCACCACTAGAAAATATCCCTATCGGCCTTTGGCCAATATGAAAATAGGCACTGATACAGGTGCCAAAAATAGCCCCACCACCTGGTGGTTCTCAGGCTTACCTGAGAACCCATTCCAACAATCCCGACGGCTTGGCATAGAGATCAGTGACGGAAAGATGGGCTCCACTCATCTCTATGCCCTTGGAGGACCGAAGCAACATAATTACTTCACTTTGTGTTCTGGCGCCATGTAAGCAAGGCCATTTTTTTTTTTTTTTTTTTTTTTTTTTTTAATGCAATTGTTTTTTTAGGTTTTTTTTTTTTTAATTTAATGCTCTACATTGTAGACAACAGATGTGGGGTTTTATTGACCTCAGATCTGTCCATAAAGAGGACCTGTTGCTGCTTATTCTTTTTATTTAGAGGGACAGTGGGGGGGGAAAAAAAGTAATAAAATAGATTTAAAAAATGAAAAATATTTAAAGTTCCCCCTCCCCCCCATGCTTACGTGTAGCGAATGCATACGTGGGCCACACCCACATATGCAAACTGTGTTCAAACCACACATGTGAGGTAAACGTCAGAGTAAGAGCAATAATTCTAGCACTAGACCACCTCTGTAACTTTAAACTGGTAACCTGTAGAAATTTTTAAAGCGTCACCCATGGAGATTAAGTATAATAGCTTAGCGCTATTCCACCAGCATGCTCAATTTTAAGGCATGACATGTTGGGTATCTATTTACTCAGGTATATAACGTGTTTTGTTTTTTTTTTATTTATTAAGGTGTATTTTTGTTTCTTCAAAAAAAATTACGTCTGAAAAAATGTTAACAAAACCATTTTTTTGCATTTTTGAGTGATGATTCCCCTGTGAAAGGGGTAGTTGCATCTGCTGGGCACTCAGTGCCATGAGATGATAATGAGGCACATCTTAAGATTTCTCAGTTGAGTTCTGTGACCATAAAAGACTGTATGGAGGTAAGATAGATTAGACCATGCTGTAGTGTCATGTTATCTTCTGTCCTTGGAGTGGTCAGACTGAACACTCAAGGTTAGCTGCTGTTTATTCAGCTCTTGTAGGCTCTGCATGTGCTTACAACCTGACTGGAGGTAGCAGAAGGAGAAATAGCTAACAAGGCAGGAAAGAAACAAAATAGCAATATTAGCAGAGCCTGGGTATGATGACCTCTAATGGTCCTACCCCTGTGTTACTCATGAAATTCTGACACTTGATAGTTTTATAGCTTCAGAATCATATTAAGTGCAATTACATATAGCAGTAGGATGCAAGTTATCTAATCTGTCCATAGGACACTGCAGATACCTGGCACCAGCCTTATTGCCACCGCTCCTCTGAGCACTGGTTTCCTTTTAAAAAGTTAATATAGTGCATTTTTATTTTTACTATAGCTTCCTTTTGGAAAATTCTGTTAGGATTTCCATTTTCATTCATGTGTTTCTGAGAGTGAAGCCACATGCATACCCTAATAATGGGGAACTTTTACAAACCATTCCAATTTATGTGCTTTATTTTTAAAGCTTAGAGTATCTCCACTCTCCATTCTGGCTGATCTATCTATGTACATTACAGGGACTTGAACAAATGTTTTTTTTTTTTTTTTTTTTAATATCTGAGGAAATAGCTTTTTGTCTGTGTCCATGTGCAAAGTGAATGTGAATGGGAGTGACTTTGTAATTGTTGATCATCTGCTGCATTTGCAGGGTTCTTATGAGGAAGGTGGCAGGGTCTGAATTCCTTTAAACGTGATAAACCCTTTGGTTATGTCACAAAAAATGATTTTTTTTGATACAGAGAATGATGCTGAAACTCTGATTTTGCATCTTAGTTCAGACTTATGGGAAAATCAGTGTGTGTGTGTGTGTGTGTGTGTGTGTGTGTGTGTGTGTGTGTGTGTGTGTGTGTGTGTGTGTGTGTGTGTGTGTGTGTGTGTGTGTGTGTGTGTGTGTGTGTCGGTCGAAAAATTAGAATATCGTGGAAAAGTTCATTTATTTCAGTAATGCAACTTAAAAGGTGAAACTAATATATGCGATAGACTCATTACATGCAAAGCAAGATAGTTCAAGCCGTGATTTGTCATAATTGTGATGATGATTATGGCTTACAGCTCATGAAAACCCCAAATCCACAATCTCAGAAAATTAGAATATTACATGCAATCAATAAAACAAGGATTGTACATAGAACAATATCGGACCTCTGAAAAGTATAAGCATGCATATGTACTCAGTACTTGGTTTGGGCCCCTTTTGCAGCAATTACTGCCTCAATGCGGCGTGGCATGGAAGCTGTCAGCCTGTGGCACTGCTGAGGTGTTATGGAAGACCAGGATGTTTCAATAGCGGCCTTCAGCTCTTCTGCATTGTTCGGTCTCATGTCTCTCATCTTTCTCTTGACAATGCCCCATAGATTCTCTATGGGGTTCAGGTCGGGCGAGTTTGCTGGCCAATCAAGCACAGTAATTCCACGGTCATTGAACCAGGTATTGGTACTTTTGGCAGTGTGGGCAGGTACCAAGTCCTGCTGGAAAATGAAGTGCTCCAAAATCTCCTGGTAGACGGCTGCATTGACCCTGGACTTAATGATGCACAGTGAACCAACACCAGCAGATGACATGGCTCTCCAAATCAACACAGACTGTGCAAACTTCACACTGGACTTCAAGCATCTTGCAGTGTGTGCCTCTCCATTCTCCCTCCATTCTCCCTCCATACTCTGGGTCCTTGTTTTCCAAATGAGATGCAAAAGTTGCTCTCATCAGAAAAGGGGACTTTGGACCACTGAGCAACAGACCAGGTCTGTTTTTCTTTAGCCCAGGTAAGACGCTTCTAACGTTGTTGTTTGTTCAGGAGCTGCTAGACAAGAGGAATATGATATTTGAAGCCCATGTCCAGGATACATCCGTGTGTGGTGGCTCTTGATGCACTGACTCCAGCCTCAGTCCACTCCTTGTGAAAGTCCCCAACACTTTTGAATGGCCTTTTCCTGACAATCCTCTCCAGGCTGCGGTCATCCCTGCTGCTTGTGCACCTTTTTCTTCTACACTTTTCCCTTCCACATAACTTTCTTTTAATGTGCTTTGATACAGTACTTTGAGAACATCCAACGTCTTTTGCAATTACCTTTTTTAGGCTTTCCCCTCCTTATGGAGGGTGTCATCGATGGTTTTCTGCACAACTGTCAGGTCAGCAGTTTTCCCATGATTGTGATTCCTACTGAACCAGACTGAGAGATCATTTAAAGGCTCAGGAACCCTTTGCAGGTGTTATGGCTTAATTAGCTGATTAGAGTGGGACACTTTGAGCCTAGAATATTGCACCTTTTCACAATATTCTAATTTTCTGAGATTGTGGATTTGGGGTTTTCATGAGCTGTAAGCCATAATCATCACAATTATGACAAATGGCTTGAACAATGTTGCTTTGCATGTAATGAGTCTATCTCCTATATTAGTTTCACCTTTTAAGTTGCATTACTGAAATAAATGCACTTTTGCACGATATTCAAATTTTTCGAGTTTCACCTGTGTGTATGTATATATATATATATGTATGTATGTATGTATACACAATATATTTTTTTTCTGTGAAAGTGGAGTTACCCTTTAACTCCAGAGAAAAGAAACCCCCCCCCCCCCCCCCCCCCCCTTTCCTCCTGGGCACTCTTGACCGTTGCAGGTACTCTTGTGTCATCAAGTACATTGCGGGGCCAATAGTCCTGTACGTGAGGATAGCAAGGGTTTTCCCACAAACCTCACTTTACAGCCAGTTGCCATTGCTCCATACAGTTGACATCTTATCTAGGAAGTGTCCTTTAAGTAGTTAGACATTCGTCACCATAAATTGTTAGAACTCCATTTCACAGGCTACTTTATCATAGAATTACTCACCAGGCTCTTTCCACACTGTTTGATGTGTGTTTTATGTAAAGCCTATTTTCCCAATTTCTTTAAATGAAATACCTGTTTATGTGTAATAATGTATTTTATGTTATTTCCAGGAGACTCGAAGAATTCAGCAGTTTCATTATGTGAACTGGCCAGATCATGATGTCCCATCATCTTTTGATTCTATCTTGGATATGATTAGTTTAATGAGAGACTATCAGGCTCATGAAGATGTACCCATATGTATACATTGCAGGTAGGTGAGAGTGTGAGGTTTGCGGATAGTTGTGACTGAAAAAATTGAGTTTTATCTACTACTATTAAAACAAATTACGTAGGTGCTGTATTCTAAAATTGGATAGATGACAAAAGGAAATGTTGATGTATTGACCGCCAACATCTTCTGGGTTTCAGGAATATTCAACTGTTTGTTTGAAAAGAACTTGTCCTGAGAGGGATATGGGAGCTACCATCGCTATCCATAGCAAAAGTGCTGACTTAGCAATGCCAGTATACTGATCAGGATCATTTCAGTATACTGATCAGGATCATTTCAGTATACTGATCAGGATCATTTCAGTATACTGATCAGGATCATTTCAGTAAAGTCTGAAGTTCCCAGTCAGCTCTCAAAGCTCTTGTAGAGTGTGTAACTGCATCTCCACGCCCCCTGCTTTGTGAGCCTGGGAAAAATCCTTTTCATTTGAGTTTTCCAAGGATGTACAGAACAAATGACGGCAGATAAATGGGTACCACTTAAAAGATTAAACACATCCTCCTACATATAACCTGAGGCTAATCACTTCATTAGGTATAGGTAAGGGTTTACAACCATTTTAAGTAAACAAAAGAGAGAAAAAATGTTTTCAGGAGAGGTCAACAATGGTGGCCTCCATATGACCTGTTTCATTTAGGGACTGAATAAGTTAGGAACCAGTCATATACATAACTACTTAAACACAATTTACTAAACCTTCCAATATAGACATTTCTGTTCTCTTCTTTACCCTTTTAATAGTTATGTAAACAGTTGTTAGAGATGCCCTGTAATGTCGGTGGCCGACCGTTTCGGCCAAAAACACCCCTTTCGGCCATCGGCCGAAATGAAAAAAAAAAGCACAGATACAGGTGTAAAAAAAAAAAAAAAAAAAAAAACCCCGCCCCTCGCTGCCACCGCTCAGTACTTCTCAGCCTTACCTGAGAAACCATCGATCCCGACTCTGGGTATAGAGATGAGTTAAGGAAAGATGGCCACCACACATCTCTATGCCCTTGGAGGACCGGAGCTATGTCACTTTCCGTTCCGGACTTTTTTTTTTTTTTTTCATCCAATGCTTTACATTGTAGAGGTCTTATTGACCCCATATCACTCCATAAAGAGGACCTGTCACTAATTATTTCTATCACAAGGGATGCATGCATTTCTTGTGATAAGAATAAGAGTGCTAAAAAAATTTTTTTTAAAGGGACAGTGCAAAAAAAAAAAAAAGTTTAAAGTGCCCCCGTGCTCACACGTAGTGGTGAATGCATACGTAGGCCATGCCCACATATGTAAACGGTGTTCAAACCACACACATCGCCACGAACGTCAGAGCAAGAGCAATAATTCTCACACTAGACCTCTTCTGTAACGTTGCACTGCTAACCTGTCAATTTTTAAAGAATCACCCATGAAGATTGAAGTACCGCAGTTTCACGCCACTCCACGAGTGTGCGCAATTTTAAAGCATCACATGTCTGGTATCTATTTACTCGTCGTAACCCTCGGTAATTCTTTTTCATATTTTACAAAATTGGGATATATATTGTTAATTGTTTTTTTTTTTGTGTATTTTTTTTTCCAAAAAAAAATATATACATTTTTAAAAACTGCACATTTCGGTTTTCGGCCAAGTGCATTTTGAACTTTCGGCACCAGAATTTTCATTTCGATTCACCACTAACAGCTATGTTTATATAATATAATCTACAGCAAGTAAGAGCGAGATGTCATCCCCCCTCCCCCAAGGTAAACTAAATTCTAGAACTGCTTTAGAATGTGCCCACCTTATCTTCAAAGAAGGTAGTAGGTCCACTAGCACAAATTCAGTTGGAAAAAGTGTACTCCGCTAGCAAACCTTTGTGCCAGACATAAAAAAAATCCTCATGAAGAAAGAGATCCTGTAATGCAACAGATGAGGATATGTTGACTATGAAAATGTTCAGCACAGAGCTAGGCCCTCTGCGTCCAAAATGTTTTAGCTTTCATACAAGCAACTATGGCATTTCTGTAGATCTGTATACTTTGCTTGCACCCCTCCTATCTGTTGTTTGATAGACTAGTAAAAGTTATTTTATCATATTTAGGGGTTGCTATGGTTTAGTCTACTTTGTGCAGCATTACAGCTGTTTACATTTCTAAGGCGTTTAGGCCAGCTTTAGATGGTGCACACATTAGGACACACACATTAAGTGTACTTTTATTTTTCTATTCTTATGCAGTGCGGGCTGTGGAAGGACAGGGGCTATCTGTGCAATAGATTATACATGGAATTTGCTTAAAGCTCGGGTAAGAGTCACAGCTTAAATTATTTTGGATTATTTTATATCAATCCAAGACATTTACTGAATTTTATTCATTTTAGAGAATACCTGCTGAGTTCAATGTATTTAGTCTAATTCAAGAAATGAGGACACAGCGGCATTCAGCAGTCCAAACTAAGGTATAACATTTAATTGATGCATATTTACATAATCAGCCTTTGTGATCAATGTAAATTGTTATATGTGGTAAATAGCAGCTGCAAGAAAAGTTATTCAACAAATCAGTAAAATCTTGTGACCAGGCTAATGTTGACTTCTGTAGTCCTAGAATATGCGTACACTGACAAGAAAATACTTAGTTGGTTATAAGCTGTGACTTATATACTGTGTATGTATAATTTTAAAATAAATACACACTGCATATAAAAAGTCTACAAACCGCTGTCAGGTTTCTCTGATGTAAAAAAAGACAGATAAATCATTTCAGAGCTTTTTACACCTTTTTAATGTGACTTAGAAATTGTACAACTCCATTGAAAAAACAAACTGAAATCTCTTTGAAGGGGGGAGGAGTATACACAAAAAACTAAAATAATGTGGTTGCATAAGTGTGCATACCTTCTTATAACTGGGGATGTAGCAGTGTTTAGAATTAAGCAATCACATTCAAAATCATGTTAAATAGGAGTCAGTACACACCTCTGATTAACCCCAAATAAAGTTCAGCTGTGCTAGTAGGTCTTTCCTGACATTTTCTTAGTCGTATCCTACAGAAAAAGCAATAGACCGCAGAGAGCTTCCAAAGCATCAGTTGGATCTCATTGTTAAAAGGTATCATTCAGGAGAAGGGTACAAAAGAATTTCCAAGGCATTAGATATAGCATGGAACACAGTGAAGACAGTCATTAAGTGGAGAATATATGGCGCAACCGTGACATTACCAAGAACTGGACACCCCTCCACATCACCAAAAGAACACCATACCCACAGTGAAGCATGGTGGTGGCAGCATCATGCTTTGGGGCTGTTTTTCTTGAGCTGGAACTAGGGCCTTAGTCAAGGTAGAGGGAATTATGAACAGTTCCAAATACCAATCAGTATTGGCACAAAACCTTCAGGCTTCTGCTAGAAAGCTGAACGTGAAGAGCAACTTCATCTTTCAGCATAACGACCCAAAGCATACATCCAAATCAACAAAGGAATGGCTTCACCAGAAGATGATTAATGTTTTGGAATGGCCCAGCCAAAGCCCAGACCTGAATCCAATCGAAAATCTGTGGGGTGATCTGAAGAGGGCTGTGCACAGGAGATGCCCTCACAATCTGACAGATTTGGAGTGTTTTTGCAAGGATGAGTGGGCAGATATCCTGACAGTGAACCCCTGTTGAATTCAGTTAGCTTTGAGATAGAAAGTGAAGGGAAATCTCCCCAGTGGGACACAGATGGCAAAGATGAAACATGATTGACTGAGTTATAACCCCCTTTACTCTAACCAAAATGGGGGGGGGGTTTTGCCTGTAGTTCTACTTTAAGTAGTCATCCACCTGAGACTTGAGCTATGAACGGTGGAATTTTTACAGCAGTTTGTAACACAATTTCCAGCTTCCGGATAATTAAGTGTGAAAATAAACACTATTCAGAAGACAGGAAGGCTGCATTCACACATGGGCATTTTGAATTGTGGGCAGAATCGCCGCAATTCTGCCCGCAATTTCAAAATGCTCTGCTAAAAATGACATCATGGAACCGTGTGTTCAGGTGCCATTCATTTTAATGGCACTTAAAAACTCGGTGTGGCTCTGCCATGATTGTCACACGTTAATTTGCGCCGCAATTGTGCTAAACCACAGTGCACAAAGTGTGTAGCTTAAAAGAAGTTTAGGAAGTAGAACTATTTCCCTTAGAAGAAGTAGAGATGGAGAACTTTGAAGACCCAGAGGCAGTGTTGGAGGAGGCCATGGAAGATTTCTCAACCCCAGGCTCCTATAACCATATTCTATTGCTTTAGGAAATACGATTGACAATTTCCTGTCTCATCACGATCCTCTGGGTAGTAAGAATCATGCAAAGTCTAAAAGACATTTCCTGTTCATGAACAAATGGGAATCGTGGCCGTGCTATATGAAGTGGAAAAGTAATTCACTAAATAGTAGAGTGTTCCAGTAGTAAACCCTGCTGTCTCAATCTTAAATTAATATTTCTGTGCCTGTAGGTGTTACCTCATTTAAGGATTCTGCCAAAAAATTTGCATAACATTTGAGGTGCCATTTAAGGCTCTTTACTCTGGTAGGTCCCCAGACCTGCATCCAGATTTTGCATCTATTTATGTTTGTCAAACCACAGCTAATTGAAATAGGGCAAAGAACAATCAACAGGATCCTGTCTTCCAGGACTGAATTCTGGCAGAACACTTACAAACACTGCCTTCTGCCTTACTTTTACTGTGATGATACACTAGAACCGGTCATGAAACAAATTTCCAGAATGGCTTTCATATCTGTTTATATCCACAAAGTCTTATGGCTAAAAGCCTGGAAAGCTAAAGCTGCCTGTAAGACTCCTTATTCGTATGCCTTTTTGAAGGTCGATATCTTTGTTGATTCACTTGTCAAGTTCATAAGTGGTCAGAAAAGGAACAGTCCTTCCTCAACAGAGGACTCAAAAACCTCCTTCCCCCAGGTACTTCTGCCTCCAAAAGAGAACACACTGCAGTTGCAATGGTTGATGCTTTACCCTACCTTTTGACTAGCCTATCTTTGGTTTTGTTTCTGTATCGTGGACTTTTTTTTCCTGCTGTTCATCCTTTGGAGTTCGGATGTATGAGCTGTTGATTACTATTGTCATTGACTCTGTACTGTTCGGCTTTGTGGTTAGATAAAAGAAGTCTTCAGTCAAAGAGCACCCTATTGCACTCTCCTGGCTTAATTTTCAAAACTTGCCAGCTGAAGCTGGCTGTAAAAGACACCCTTTTGAAGAAAGATGTACATGTACCTCAGGGGTGTAGACATTTTTTAAAACATTTTTCCAAGGGACTAAATCGGGGTCCCAATCTACTTTTCCCTCATGACAATCTTTGTCCTGATTAAAAAAAAAAAAAAAAAATTCCCAGGATGGAAAATTTGAAGGGTTAATGCTTTTGGGCTTTTTAAAAACAAAAGGGGCTTTATAGCAACCTAAACTTTTTCAATGTGTTTTTATTTTCTAGAAAATTTCTTAAAACCCCCAAACATCATATATTTTGTTAAAACGGAGGCTCTACAGAATAAATTGGTGGGTGTTGCAATTTTTTTATGTCACATGGTTATCGTACAGCAGTTTTTCAAACGCTATTTGTTTTTGGAAAGTTTTTGGAATTTCATGCACAAAAACACAATACACAAACAAATTTTTGGTAAAGTATAAAAGAGGTTATGCTGAGTAAATAGATACCAAACATGTCACACTTTAAAATTGCCCATGCAATAGTGACAAACTACGTAATTCTTACTATCCATAGGTGACGCTTGCAAAGCTTTTACAGGTTACCACTTTAGATTTACACAGGAAGTCTGGCGCTAGAATTACTGCCCATGATCTGAAGTTTGCGGTAACACCTCATAGCTGTGGAGTATGGGGGGACATGGGTGCTTTAAAAACATTTAAGTTATTTATTTTATTTTTACACTGTTATGTTAATTTTTTTTTTTTTTTTCATTTTTATTGTGATCACATGGAATGTAAAGATCCCTTATGACTGCAATAGGCAAGTGACAGGTACTCTTTATGGAGGGATCTGGGGTTCTCTGCTCTTAAAAACATTTGATCACACCAAGATCAGTGTGATCAATTGCTTTTAATTTTTAAAAATGGAGCCCAAACGGAAGTTGTGTATGCTCATTGCTTCCTGTTTCTTATATCAGAGGTGGACAGAACACAGATTTTCTCCATATAATCAATCTACTACATGCTATAATAAGAACTATAGCATACGCAAAGCAGCGGATAATATCCCAAAGCTATAAATGCAACATTGTGCAGATCATGATAAGGTGCTATGATAACTCATTTCAGAGTGCATAGCTTTTCCCAAGTATCTAGGGGAAGTGGCAGTGCTTACATCCGTTACAGCCTCTCATGTCATTCTATGTGACAGCAAATGGATCATAAAATGGACAATCTTTGAAAACAGTTATGCTAGTCTATCCATGTGCCACCAGGGATCCTAATGGTTCTGAGGGTAACACTGTGTCCACCATATTCATTAAGCAACGATGGGGAACATGGCTTTAAATTGACACCTGGCTCATGACCTCAGTCACTCCTGTTGCCATTAATGTGTCCAATTGCACTGCTGCTGAGCAGGGTGATGCTTACCATTCCTGGGAGGCAAGATGCCTTCCCTGCCTTTTGTAGCTTTGGCCTGCTCACTGATAGTCATCTGCTGTTATTGTATCGGCTGATGGAAGTCATTTTCTGTCAGCATGCAGAATGGAGTTGCAGTGTGTAAGCTGCCAGCACACCGTTAAATGCCTGTTCAATGCCCGCTGCATGTACAAAAAAAAAAAAAAAAAGTTTGGCATGCTCTGGGTGGTGCGTGGGGTGTCTTGACATCACTGAGTTTTGACCAAACACGAGCTTCTTGGCCGTTTGTCTGTAGCAGAAATGTACAAAAAAAAAATGTACCTGTTGGGTGCCTGGAACTGCATGTCCTTGGCATGGGGCAATATGATTTGCGCATCCCTGCACATGACAAGCTCATAAAAGATGTCAGAAGGACTACTACAGATGGCTCCAAAAACACCCTCTAAAGGGCTTCTACTCCCCAAAATGCAGAGTGCCCCATTACACTTCTCAGGCTTCATCTTATTCAAAATCAAATTAAACTGTTTTTCAGCACAGGACAAAACCAGCTGAATCGCACGCCAAAGCCTTCTTCACAATAACAGGCAACCTCACTTCTAAAGTGGGGGGATGTCTGTTACAGTTCACATTCCTCTCGGTCACAGACCTCTTTAACTTATGAGTTCAATCATTGGTTTCAGATGGGGTACAAAATAGTTTATCTACTAGATCTTCATTCTTTCTCTCAATCCATCTAAAATCTGCCTAGGAATGGTCAGATTTATGAACTGACCTGGGTCATCCCTTGTCTCGGGTAGTGGTTATCATCTCTCTGGAAGAAGGTTCAAATTCAAACCTA